TGGAATTATTTTGTACTGTATTTCTGTTATATTGCAGTTGATTGTTCGTTCGAGTGTGCGATGATACTCCTCTTGCTCTGTTTCTACTGCTAATTAACTCTTTATGTACCATAAATCCTTTGTAAGTTGCAGAGTTGTAAGGTGCATATTACAGTATGTCTTAGAGTGTCCATACAACTGGCATCTTGTACACTGGACAATATTATTCTTTTTATACGGTGGCTCAATAACTATTTTCGCGTTGTTTATAAATTTAATTTAATATATTTTTTTATTATTTTGATTAGGTTCTATATTGACGTAGAACATCATTTGAGGGTCCTTACCTACTCTGTGTTTTATATTTACAATATTGCGTACTAAATGCCTATTTTTTCTATTTCACTTTATATTATATTAATGGGCATTGTATTATGTAGATTACGAATTACAACTCTGTATGCTCCATCCTCTTTCTTTTGGTACGTATGATGCACAATACGTATTTTGCTGTTTTAATATCAGTTTTCGGTATGTTTCAGAGTCCCGGGAATTTATTTTTATTGTGTTGTTTTTTAATGCTGTGCAATAGCATGTCTCTGTTTTTGCTACTTCCGATATTTTATAAACAATTTTATTGTATTCAGTAACATCATATATAAAAATTCTTATTCAAACTTATATCCATTTATTTGTTATTTGTTCCCCATATCCTTCTACGACTCTGTTATTTTCTTCTTTCTCTACTCTGGCGTTTAAATCTCATCAATATTTCACAGTTTTGTTTAACTTCAGAGAGTATTTCATTCATCTTGTTGTAGAAATCGTATTTACTTTCTGAATCTGCATCTTTATTTGGGGCATACACTCCGACGATGTTGTGTCCATTCTTTTTCATTTCTAGAATTGGCAGTTGTTCATTTAATTCAGTCCACGATTTAATACTGTTTTTAAGATTTTTTCGAATGACAATAGAGACTTCTCTCTCTTAGCTCTGTTATATTTATTCACTCCACTGTACATATATTTATATTCTCCTGTATCTTCATTTTCTTTTCCCCTTTTCTTGGTCTCAGTAAGAATACATATACATACATACAAAAATCGCTGAATTACATCAGTTTTTCTATTATATTCCTCGCTATCTGACATTAAAACAAAATTAAAAAGTAAATATTCTTAAAGACAGACCAGGCTAAGCTGGCTTCCGAATCTCGACTAACCAATCGTAAGTGAATGCATATCTATGCTTGTCTGTATGAGACATTGTGGTAAGCGACTATAGCATCGCTGTAAAAATAAGACAGGTTGAGTATAAAGCCAAGTACTCCAGTTATAGATATCCTTCTATAATTGGAGTACTTGGCTTGGTTTTATCTTAACTTTTATGGTTATAGTCCCATATAAGTGTTATTAGTTTTTGTAATTATCTATATATAGTTATTCTCCTCCTCTCCGTAATTAAGATATTCGGCTGGTACATTTTTGGATCCTGGAGCTTTTGAGTTCTTCAATTTGTTAATGACTTGCAATATTTCGTCTATTTTTGAGACCTCTAGCGGTAGATTCACTCTAAGGTATATATCCATTTTATGTTCTTCACCTTGATGTATGGTTAGTAAAGTTTTGAAATATTCTTGCCATGTTTGGAGTAGCGTCCTTTCATTGATTATTAGTTCATCATTATTTTTTCTGAGTTCGGACACGCAAGTAGGACTGAAGCTCGTCTTTTAAACTGTACTACGTTTTGAACATGTTAATTTATGTGCTTGTTCCGTCTTTAATTGTGTTTATTTTTTCTGCAAATCACGCTTGTTTAGATAGACAGGACGATATTTTTTTTATGAAAACAAAAACGCCAAAAAAACCATTCGCTAATTAAAATCCTACTGACAGAAATGTTCGCTCCAACCCCCCTTCCCACGCCAATCCCCGCGTCCTCTGTTCCCAGTAGCAGTAATGCTTTGGTTAGTGATCAGCGTAGTAGTGTCTGGGGACTTAGGAGACTAAGACCTCGGAAGCCCTAAAGATACTTCAAAGAGGATGTCGAAAGATTCCATACTTGATATTTGCAATATTACCAGATTTGCCGATTCTCATATATTATTAGTAACTTTGGTTTTTTAAATTCATCACCCTGTATATTCAGTCACTCTTGGAATCTAGTATTCAATACGAGCTCAACCATATGTAATACTTATGATTGTATGTAGTCTAAAAGCACTTAAATACATAAAACAGTGGAAATATATAGATTTTAATAAATTTAGATATTTAAATCTAGAATGTTGTGATTTTGACATTTGTTCACCATTTAAATTATTATCTAAAACTGACAGTAGAAGATAAACTGCTTCTCTAAAATGGCTCTTAACGAAAAAGAACGAACTATTATTCTAATGATGAGATGGTATGGTGACAGAAAAAGATCTTAAGGCCGGTTTTCACGCTACGTTTTCTTGTACGTTTTGTGGGTCATATAAAACGTACGATAAAATGTACGTTTTGTCCAGTGTATACACACTACGTTTTCCCTTCCGTTTTCTACCTTATTTCTTATTCAGAGTCTTGAGTTGTGTGAATTTTGTTTAATGATTTTTTTTATTATGGAGGAAACAGGGCTGCTTACTTTTATTTTTTCGACTATAACAATACTACGACTAAGGAAAAAGGGGATGAAGAGGGAAAAGACAAGATGGTCAAGAGTGGCTTCTGAAAAAAAGCCAGTATTCCCACCTCTCGGTATTAAAAGAACTAAGATGCGAAACAGATGACTGGCGCAATTATTTGCGAATGGACACCTCAGCCTATTATCAATTTCTAGAGCTGGTAACACCATACATATTGAAACAAGACACCTGCATAAGAAAAGCCATTACACCTCATGAAACACTTACAGCAACTCTCAGATATCTTGCAACAAGACGCAGCCTCAAGGACTTGGAGTTTACAACCAGTAATATCCAAAACCAGCGTTAAGCCAAATAATTCCTAAAACCTGTAATACATTACTAGGCTTTTTTTGGGAAAAATGAAGCAAACTGCAGTGAAGCTAGACGTCAACTAAGTCATGATCGGACGACTTGTCTGAACATGCATTTTCACGTAAGTTTTATCCTGTCAGTTCTCGCAAAACTCTATGCTTCTCTCATCATTTCTGCGATCTGACCTTGGATTTCATTTCGATTCGACAAGACGTACGTTTTGCAGTTTACATGCCACGTTTTATTGTATAGGATTTGTCCTATCCAACAAAACGTACAATAAGATGTAGCGTGAAAACCGGCCTTTACATGTATGACGTAAGAATAAATTAAAACCGTACAAAAATAAATTATTGCAAGAAAGTGTAGATGACTTCGATCGTAGATTAGAGTTTACTGAGGTAATGATGGATAAAATTGAAAATGATAAAAAGTTCGTTAACAGAATATGTTTTTCCGATGAAGCAACCTTTACACTGTATGGAAGTGTAAATCGACACAATTTAAGGTTCTGCAGTGACGTAAATCCACACTGGATGCGTGAAAACCATAAAGATCACAAAAATTAAATGTGTGGTCAGGTATAGTAGGTACTCAGTTAATTGGACCATTTTTATTTTTTATCGAAGGAAATTTAACGTCAGATAGTTAGGAAATGTTACTTAGAAATTAAATTGTACCTACACTAAGAAACTTAATTATTTAATCAGATTTGGTTTTAGCAAGATGGAGCTCCAGCTCATTTTGGTGTAAATATTCGGATACTTGAACAATTTAGTTTACAAAACTAAACCGGCAAGTCTTGCAGAGCTAAAGCAACGAATTATCGATGAATCTCGAATAATTTCTAGATAATCATGGGGAAATGTTTGTTGTTTGTTGTCCGAACAACAAACAGACACTTACAAATATCTCTGACACGAAATCAAAATAAGCAGAGACAATCAAACACATGAAATACAGAGGCGAATAGGTCTAACATGGGCAGCATTTGGCAAATTAAGCCATATTCTAAAAAGTTCAATTCCCATGTGTCTCAAGCGAAAGGTTTATAACCAATGTGTTTTACCTGTACAAACTTATGGAGCAGAGACTTTAACACTCACGCAAAAATCTGCGAATAAACTTAGAGTTACACAACGAGCCATGGAACGTGCAATGCTGAACGTGAGCCTTCGAGACCACATAACAAACCAACAAATCAGATGAAGATCAGGAGTTCAAGACGTCATCGAAAGAACCACGACGCTTAAGTGGAACTGGGCAGGGCACTTAGCCAGAACACAAGATGGACGGTGGACAAGACGTATTATGGAATGGAGGCCCAGAAATTATAAAAGAAGCCGAGGACGACCACCGACTAGATGGACCGATGACATTAAACGTGTAGCGGGAAACTGGCTACAAGCGGCCCAGTGTAGAGAACACTGGAAAGAATTGAGGGAGGCCTATGTCCAGCAGTGGACGCGATTGGCTGATTGATGATGGGGAAATGTAGTAGACGCATTCTACAATCGCTTAGGGTACTGTCAACTCACATTTTGAACACTTGATAAAGTATTCATTATGTTAAAAATGTTGTAATCTATGAATTGTTACGTTTTAACGTAGTTGAAAATAGTTAGTATTAGAACATTTATTGTAACAATTAGGCGTTGCCAGACTTCTGTTTTATGTATTTAATACCTTTCAGACTACATAAAATCATAAGTGTTACATATGCTTGAACTCGTATTAAATAGGAGATTCCAATAATGACTGGATATATAGGGTGATGAATTTAAAAAATCGAAGTTGCTAATAATATCAGAGAAACGACAAATCTGGCAACATTGTAAATATCAAATATGGAAAATAGGTGTACCTCAAATTTTGTACAATTATGACTAGCAATTTATGAGATAATTGGCCGTTTCCAGTCTTTTGGGCCACTCTATCTATATAATATATTAAAATATAGTAAAAAATTTGGTTTTCAGATAGAAAAAAAAAATCTTAAAGATGGGAAATGCTGCACACGTCGAAATTTTAATGAACATGGACGACGCAGATCTAATAATAATGGCGGACTTTTACAGAGACCACAGACAACTGTGTTACGCCAGTTCTTGTTTGCATAATGGAAGTCGACTGAAGAAAGCTATTAACACATTTCCCATAAGATTCATCTCGCCTGTAGGAGCATGGGAAGTTAACGGAACATTTTTTATGATAGTGGAGGTAAGTCGATAGAGTATTCATTTTCGACTGATGTTTTCTTGAATTTTCTATTTGTAGATTGGGTTAAATTGTCTTTTTTTTTTAATATTCTTTCTCCTCAAACTTTTCTCACTAGTATAGTATCTTTTATCCGGTGTAAATGACCCCACCAGCACAGCTGTCTCTGTTCTATAAACTCCAATGAGGATTGTACTTTGAGTTTGTTCCTTATATCTGTGTTCCGTTTTCAAAAGTCAGAACAGTTCAATAAACTGCTTTGAAAATTTTAATTTTTGTAGTCCGTGATTTCTCTTTTCTGTATATAAATTTTATGTTCATTATAGGATACAGTTTTTCTTCAGTCAATATTCAAGATGTTATTACTTATGATGCTATTCAAACCAAGATTTATGTAACTTAGTTTTAGAAAGTCTTCGATAAACGATTAAAATAAACATGACAGCTTTAATTTACAAAAGAAAATAACAGAATTAACTAAAAAACCAGAATAAAGGTCATCAGTCATAAGAATAAGAAATTTAAAAATTAATAAAAACAAAATCAAAAGAGGTGTTCGACAGGGCTGTGTCTTGTCGCCATCAATGTTTAATGCATACTCAGAGAAAATATTCCAAAAATCATTAGAAGATGAAGTAGCAGCCATAAAAATAAATGGCCTACCCATACGTGCAATTAGATATGCTGATGATACAATACTAATAGCAGAAAATATTACAGATCTACAAAGAATTTTAAATAAGGTTGTTGCATCGAGTGAAGAATTTGGTCTGTCGTCCAAATGGTCTGCCGTGAAACATACCAGCACGTCGTCTACGTATATCTACCAATATAAAAACCAATGTCAAAATACAGCTTTGAGACAGAATTAAATATCATTAAGTAAATAGCAGTAAACCAGCTTTCAGAACAAATATAATAACAACTTAGGCAAATATATTAAAAACAACAAGAGTCAAAATAAAAAACACTTACATAGTGGTGTGTACAAACTTAAATGTGGCGACTGCTAAAAACTTACTTCGGTTATACTAGTAGAAATTTTAATAAACGAATAGCAGAACATAAAAGGTCTTGCAATAATAGAAAAATAGATTCTACATACGCACCTGACCTTTTAGATCATAATCATTCTTTTAATGACGAATTTTAAATCCTTCACATTCAAAATGAAGGCCTTAAGCTATCTTTGTTAGAATCTATGGAAATTAACAAATTAAAAAACACAGATATAATTCTAAATGACCAACTTGAGACAAACAGTTCTCCCCTCCTCAACATATTTCATTAAAGACTATAAAGTGTTAAACACATGCCAAAAATAGATCACTTGAGAAAGGCTACCAGCCGAAACAGCTGTAGTGATAAAATTTTATAACAAATTTTGTGGAACACGGGATAAGGAGCAAATGTACGAAGATCTTAGGAAGGAGGAAAAACGCATACATCGAAGGAAAAAGCGGACCTTCGAAAACCAGATTATGCAAGAGCTTCAATCATTAAAGGGGCAAAATGAAACTAGAAAGTTCTATAATATCCTAAATAAGACAAGAAAAGAATTTAAACCACGGCTGACGATGTGTAGAGACAAAAATGGACATACAGTCAGTACCGCTGACGCAGTACAAAGCAGATGGGTTGAGCACTTCAAAGAACTACTTGGTACCGAAATGGAAAATGATGCGTCACCCCACAGACCAAGAAATAACACTCACGTAGAACCTCCTTCAATATTTGAAGTGAACGACGCAATCACACGACTCAAAAATAGCAAGTCCCCAGGAGTGGATTGTATTCCCGCAGAGCTCATCAAACATGGAGGTAACAGCATTATGCACCAAATTCACAACATATTAGTCAAAGTCTGGGAAGAAGAACAAATGCCAGAGGAATGGTGCACTGGAATCATATGTCCACTGCACAAAAAGGGAGATTTGTTGGAATGTAAAAATTATAGGGGTATAACTCTTCTGAATACAATGTACAAAATATTCTTTAACACCCTGCACAGCCGTTTAAGTACGTACGTGGAAGAAATGCTTGGTGAGTATCAAAGCGGTTTTAGGCCAGGTAGGTCAACAATTGACCAGATTTTTGTGCTACGTCAAATCTTAGAAAAAACCAATGAATTTAATATTGACACGTTCCGTCTCTTTGTGGACTTTAAGTCAGCGTATAATAGCGTCCTAAGAGGTAAATTATACGAAGCCATGAATGAACTTAACATTCCCCATAAATTAATAAGGTTCGTAAAAACAACTATGAGTAAAGTGATCTGCAGAGTGCAAATACAAGGCGATATGTCACAAGCGTTTGAAGCATATGCAGGGTTACGGCAGGGAGACGCGCTGGCGTGCCTTCTCTTTAATATAGCGTTAGAAAAGACTATAAGAGATGCCGAGTTACACAATAGGGGAACAATCTTTAATAAATCAACGCAAATTATGGCTTACGCTGACGATCTGGATTTGATCGCACGCACTACACGAGGACTTAAAGAGATGACTTCCACCTTCTTGACAGCCGCACAAAATATGGGCCTTAAAATAAACGAGAAAAAAACCAAAATGTTAGCATCTATTCCAAATAACAGAGATAGAGCTAGAAACGCCGAACAAAACTTCAGTATAGACCAATATAATTTTGAGGTAGTAAATAAGTTTACATATTTGGGTTCTCTCATAACAAACGATAATGACACATCTGAAGATGTTAAACGGAGGGTACTGCTAGCAAATAAATGTTATTTTGGACTAAGCAAGCAGCTAAAAAACAGAAATTTAAGTCAGAAAACCAAACTAATAATATATCGAACACTCATCCTACCAGTGCTGACATATGGCTCAGAAACATGGACTATCTCCAAAACAGACGCAAATCTTCTGCTCGTCTTCGAAAGGAAGATACTAAGAAGAATAATGGGCGCATTCTGTGAGAATGATATTTGGAGAAGGCGATATAATTTCGAATTGTACGAGAAGTTTAAAAGAAAAAAAAAAGTAAATGGTAGAGATGTAATTTCCTTCATAAAAATAGGTAGGCTTAGATGGGCTGGACATGTGTCAAGAGCAAATGAAAATTACCCACCCAGACGAACTCTATTATCGGTCCCAGTGGGAAATAGGAGTAGAGGCAGACCACGACTGAGATGGAGGGACGGTGTGGACGAGGACGCAAGGAAAATCGGCGCGGCAAATTGGCAACGGTTGGCGATGAACAGAAACGACTGGCGAAATAGACTGGGGAAGGTCAAGGCTCAACTAGAGCTGTAGCACCACTGATGATGATGATGATGAATTTCCATCAAGTATCGGTCGAATCCATCAATTATTTAAAGTATATCGATCTATATTTGGGTATCATATATTTGGGACCAAAGCTGAGGTGGATGGACGAGGTAACACAAGATGCCGAGAAGATCGGAGTCGGCAACTGGAAAATGCAAGCAAGGGACAAAACAGAATGGCGTAGAAAACTTGAGAAGGTGGCCCTCTAAGGGCTGTAGCACCAAGATAATGATGATGATGCAATAACTTATTAGTTCGTAAGATTTTATTATGAAATTTGCAATTTATTTAAATTTTGCAATTAAATTATTTACTTCATTATGTTTTATTTTGTGATATTGATGATTTACGTAATTTCAGAACATTTTAATTATAATTGTTATTTTTTGATTTTCTGTAAGCTTTGTCAATATGTTCAGTAACAATAAAGCATATTTCTATTCTATTCTATAACCAAAAGTTCGAAGTACGAATCTTTTTAACGTACATATTTTTCAGGTGGACAACTGTTACGAAATATCCATTTTTTCAGGTTATCTTAACTCAGAAAGTGCAATTCAGACCATATCGAACGGTCTGGGAAAAACACAAAGAATTAACTTTGAAAGTACGAAGTATATAGTCTTCAAAGACATTCACCACAGTTTTCACTATTTGATAACCAATTTCATCCAATCCAAAGGATTGGAGGTAGAAACTGAAGAAACCTTTCATATTTTGAGAATGGAAAAGGACTTGGCGCTGGATTTTAATTTAAAGTAAGACCATAAGAATTTAATTTTACTGCAGACTTACCTAAGACTTGCATTTTCTTTTGTATTTGATAATCCTGTACAATTTCTGAAAAGAAAAGAGAATATATTAGTAAAACTAAAATACATTGATAAAATAGAAAAAATAAATAACAGTTTTTATTTTTTTTTAACTTTTGTGTCCTTTTCCAGTGTTCCGGAAGAAGTTCAGTTAAGATCGTTACAACCGGATGATGCTTACGAAATCCGTGCATATTGGCCTTATTTTTATCCGCAAACCGATGACTACTTTCGTATCCTGATACAAGCTAATGGAGGATACGGATTGTTTTCAAAAAAAGATGGAGAGCTACTGTCGTGGGGTAGGTCAACACTTCAGAAATCCACACGTAGGGAGTCTTGGGATTTTTCTTTATATGCTTCTTTCTTATTTTTATCCGCTTGAGCTAATCTTATGATGTGATCTGAATAAAGTGATAGATAGTTAAAATGTATATATTAATAAATTAGACGGATGAGCTTCGATTTACAACACCATTCTTCTACACTTGTTTCAAGGTTTATCCTCCGTTAGGAAGACTTGTACGAAAACAATATATCACTATGATACTAAATTTATAAACTTTGATAATCTTCGGTTGTTTCAGCTATCAAGACAATGTCAGGAACAATTGGTTATGTCCAAACAGTCGATAGGGCTCAAAAACGAGGATACGCCACAATAATAGTCAGACTAATGGCAAAAGAAATGGTGTTTGAACACCAATATCCTGTAATAATGGTCCCCACGAGTGATTATGATTCCCTCAACTTTTTCGAAGGAATTGGTTTTCAAATGGTTGGGCTATGTCATAATATTTATCTAAAGCAAAAGAAACCAACAGAGGTACGTAGTATAATATCCAAATTAATAAAATAAAAATATGCTGAATGCTAAATACAAAACTTAAATTTGAATTATAGAAGGTAACTCTAAGTCATACATTAAAAGAGTGTTCAGCATTTTCTAACAAACAGGTTACTCTTTCTTTTTCTTTGTACGTTGCTTGTTAAAACTTTAATTGACCTGACGACGGCCCTGCACGGCGCAAGCATGGCTTGGCGACAGCTTGTCGCTAAGGAAAGATAAGAAGTCCCGTTACTTCTTAACGGAAAGATGGTAAAACCAACCCTCTTACGGCAAATTCATTGTTTCAATTCATTGAAGTAACAATATGTAGTATAATATTATATTATTAATATATGTATTTGTAATATTTTTTATTTTCATTATCACAAACAATTAAGTTTTTTTTTATATTATAACGTTTACATAGAAGTATTAAATAGTTTGATCTACGGTCCTGAGTTCTTTACAAACCACGGGAAGTCCAAATAATATTTAGCAACAAGTAACTGGAAGAATTTAAGATTTTCGTTTTCCACTGAACAGTAACAAAACATTGCTACATAATCATTAATTTTAGGATCCTGACAAGGAAAAGAAGGGAATGAAAAATTTACCGTTTAAATTCAAACGACTCGCTGTTGGAAATCCGTCTAAAAAGGATATGATGGAAGCTGGACCATCTTGGGCATCAAACCCTGGATCCTCAGCGGCTACTGGCTCTAAAGTAAAGCAAAAGCGTCTACCTAGGAAAGAATTTACAGATATAGGTTTGTTGTATGTTACGATTTTTATAGTCTGAGGCTTATGTTTTACCATGTAGACCTAACCAACCACGTTTACCTGTAGTCTAAGTTAGTTAAAAACGAGTATTTTTTCGTCACAACTGCAAAATGTATCAGAAAATCGCTGTTGTTGGACAGTGTAAATAACTTTTTTATTACTTGAAATGTGTCTAAATGTACCTGAGCAATGGGTTGCTATAAAGTTGTTAGAAATTGTTAGAAAACTCATAGGGATCTTATAAAATGGAGTTTTAGGTTTAATTTAATAATTGCTAAATAAGACCTTAAATTGTTTATAAGTCGACAACGATGCATTTTAGAGAAAAGTTATTAAGAACATTAATTTTACAATTTGTTTAAAATATTGTTACATCATTTATTCATCAACATGTTCTCTTGGCAACATCCTCCTTTATTGTAGGAAGACTTTTTAAGTAAAATTGTGCAAAAATATGAAATGAGAATATTTTTCCTAGCCAATGTGCCCATATTACCGACTACCGGGACTATAATAAATATGCGAGGCAAATTCAGTTGATGAATTTAACCTTTAATAAGTTATAATTTTTTCATAATATATGAGGCCATGAGTGCAATAACGGACCAACCCACAAAAATTCAAAATTCATTTTATTGTAGAATATTAACTGTCTAGTTAATAGACCATAGTGGACCAATCCACATTTTTCTATTTGTTACTAGATGGCTGGACTAAAGTAGTTTTGGAACTCCATATTTGATAGAAGCAAAGTGGACCATGCTAACCACGCATGGTCCACTGTGCTGCTGACAGTTAGATGTTTTCCATCATTATTGATTGATATTTTTGGATCTCTTTGTATTTTGTCATTGTAACTTTTAATTATTGTGAAATTTAATTATTCTGTTGATATGAATTTCGATGAAAATGTTACAAGTAGAGTAAATGTAAAGAATTAATATGGAACTAATAAAATACGGAGGAAGTTAAATAAGAGGAAAAATACTGGCACTATTGAAAAATATATGAAAAGAAGAAAAAATGCCAAGGGACTGGGAGGTAGGGCAGATCATAACAATACATAAAAAAGGAGACCAACAAATCTGTGAAAATTATAGAGGCATAACGTTACTAAATACAACATATAAAATATTGACATTAATAATAAAAAGGTTATCAAAGATTACAAAGAAGACAGTAGAATAGTACGAATGTGGATTCACAGAAGAAAGATCTACAGCAGATACAATACACACAATAAAACAAATAATGAAAAAAGCAAACGAATATAAGGCATTTAATTCAATTGAAAGGAACAATTTAATGATAACACTTAAAAAATGAAAAATTCCACATAAACTCAGAAAATTAATAAAAATGACAATGAGAACTACAAAAATAAGCATAAAGTCACAAAGAGGAGACAGAGGAATTCAGTATAAATAAAGGGATGAAACAAGGAGATGCCTTCTCAACAACGCTATTTAATCTTGCATTAGAATATGTACTACAAAATATAAATAAAGGAAATCTCAAAACAAGAGGTGGTTAAATGATTGCATATGCAGACGATATTGCTATTATTGCAAAGAACAGGAAAAGTATAAAAGAAATACTAGAAGAAATAATAGAGAAAGGGGACGTAATGGGGGCTAAAAATAAATCGAGAAAAGACAAAAATATTAAGATTAGGGAAAAACCCAATAAAAGAAAAAATCAAAATAGAAAGTTCTGAGTTTGAAGAAGTAGAATACTTCGAATATCTAGGAGTTACAATAAGCAAATCCGGAGAAAGGAAGTGCGAAATAAAAGAAACACTATTCAAAGCAGCGAATAAAGCTTATTTTGCAAACAAAAGATTACTTAAAAGCAACACTGACTAAGAAAAGTAAGATGAACATTTATAACACCATAATTAGGCCAATATTATTATATGCAGGAGAAAAAAAGAAGATGGTTAAAAAATATAAAAAAAACTTAGCAGAGAGAAAGATTATGAGAACCATACTAGGACCAATCAGAACAGAGCCAAATAAATATAGAAGCAGAGCAAATGCAGAGATTAAGAAAAAACTTAAGAAAGACCTCGTAACTAAATTAAAACAATGCAAAGTTAGATGGTTAGGTCACATTTGGCCAGCAGGAGATGAGGCAGTGACATACGCAATGATAGAATGGAATCCAGGAGGAAGAATATATATACATAGTAGAGTATGGGGTAGTTGGGCCAGACAGACACGTGATGTCGGTAAGCATTGGATCTACATTATAGACCTAACAGTCCCCACTTAGTTAAGATCCTAACCCCACCAGGGGGCGCAATCTGTCAATCTGTTGTCAACGTGAATATGGCAGCAATTCTTTTTCTTTTCGGTCTGTCATCTGTCAACGTCAATCTTCTTCGTTTTCTTTTATCATCTCTCAAACGTGAAGATGGCGTAAATTCTTCTTAAAGGTGACATCAAGCTTATAGTGTCTTAACGGAGCAAGGTAGGAAGTTCTTCTTCTTTCATTGAATCTATAAAAACATCCACTGTTTTACATAGCTTCGTTCACTGCTATACATAGGCTCCACAACAGGATATTGACAAACATGGCGACAGAAGCAGGCCTCTGACAAAGTATAAAATAAATTACACGTAGGCCAGGACACAAGAGGTATCACAGAAAAATAATGAGACCACTCACACACGCAACTCGAGCGACTTAACGTAGACTTACAAGACATTACAGGATATTGAAAAAGGACACCATGATAGAAAAATTTATTGACCAATAGACTTGTCATTATTCTTGATAAGTGTGTCTCATTTCTTCGATCCACCCAGCATTGGTGTTAAAAGTAGCTTTAGTTGATAATTGGTTTCCCAAAACTCATTACTCATACTCATACTCAAGTAAATTCGTCTTGGTTTGGGTACTATTTGTTGATACTTGACAAGACGAAGAATTGACGCCATCTTCACGTTTGAGAGATGACTAACAAAAAAGAAGAAGATCGACTTTGACTGATGACAGACCGAAAAGAAGGAGAATTGATGCCATCTTTAGGTTCAAGAGATGGCAAACGAAAAAGAAGAAAATCGACGTTGACAGATAACAGACCGAAAAGAAGAAGAATTGACGCCAATTTCACGTTGACAACAGATTGACAGATTGCGCCCCCCTGTGGGGTTAGGATCTTGACTAAGTGGGGACTGCTAGGTCGGTAATGTAGATCCAATGCTTACCGACATCACGTGTCTGTCTGGTCCATCTATCCCATACTCTGCTGAGAGATGACAAACAAAAAAGAATAAGATTGACGTTGGCAAATGACAGACCGAAAAGAACAAAAATTTACGAAATGTTTACGTTTAAAAAATGACAAACAAAAAAGAGGAAGATCGACGTTGACTGATGACAGACCAAAAAGAAGAAGAATTGACGCCATATTCATGTTGACAACAGATTGACAGATCGCGTTGCCCGGTGGGGTTAGGATCTTGACTAAGTGGGGACTGCTAGGTCGGTAATATAGATCCAATACTAACCGACATCACGTATCTGTCTGGCCCATCTATCCCATACACTGTATTTGTTCATAAATAACAATTAATGTTTATAAATAATATTTATTAGACTCAATTATATTTTAAATACACAAACAAAAAAGTTTGTGTTGTATAAAAGCTTTTGTCTTTTTTTTTAATCAATCGTGCGTTCTATAGTTTTTTTTTTCTTAGTAATATGTATAGCTTGTAAGCGACTAAAAAATTTAATGGAACAAACTAAGAATGATATAAATCTTTTAGGTAAAAAACCCACCCCCAAAACGGATGCACTTCTAGGCCCTCAACCGCCCAGTCGAAGTCGAAACACGCTAAAAAGAAAGCTAGTAGCAGTGAAGAAAGCTACTGTCAGCGCCGTAACTTCAAGTCTAACAAAATTAGGAATAAAGAAAGAACAAAGACCATCGCCGCATTCTCCCCCATCGACTCCAAGCTCGACGCTTAGACACTACTCCATCAACCCCAGTCCAGGCAGTAGCCGATCAAGTTCAAGAGGACGACGGTCGCTAAGTCGGAGATCTTCTAGTAGGGGCTCGAACAAGCCTCCAACCCCCCGTTCAGAAATAATTTCTGAAAGTAGTTCTGGACACCGGTCAAGGAAAGAATCCTATTCATCATCATACTCAAACAGCGGAAGGGAAAGTAGTCAGAAAATAGACATTAAAGGTAAAAGCTTAAAATCAAAGACAATAAAGAAAAAGTCTAGAAGTACGGTAC